GCGTTTCCCGTCCAGCCGACTCTGACCGGGAACCAAAACGCTCTGACACCTGGAACAACATGTTAGAGTTTGGCTTTAAATATTCACTTTAGCATCGTATGCTAACACATGATCTACAGAAATAAGTATTTGACCCCCTTGCTGATTTTGCAGGTTTGCCCACTTACAAAGAATGCAACGATCTATAACTTTAATCATATGTACATTCTAACAGTGAGAGACAGAATCCCAAAGAAAATTCCAGAAAATCACATCATATGAATTTATAAACATTCATAACCATCTGATGAGGAAAAATAAGCATTCTTTGTAAGTGGGCAAACCTGCAAAATCAGCAAGGGGTCAAATACTTATTTACCCCACTGTGTATATATATATATAGTATTTGAGTTTCTATATTTATGTTTATGTTCAACATATTCAAAATTCTATGTCCTCTAAGCATTCTCAATATTTTCAGTATCCATGTCAACACATAACAAAATACATCTCTTTTCCCATAATACATGTCCACTTACTTTTCAGTTTAGTATTTTAACCTATTTAAAACAACTTAAATGCATAGACAATGGTATAACAACCAGCTTAATGTTAACGTTACTTTTAAACTCCTCATATATGTATTTTACTTTTAGATCTAGACAGTACTACATTTTACCCTCATAAACCTTAATTTTTAATTATCAATTTTAATTAATTTAATAATTAATTTAATAAATTAAATTGATTTTTTTAAATTAGGTTAATTTAAAAATGAATTTCATTAATTTTTTACAACTATTTTTAATTAATTAATTAATTTGAATTATGAATAATTCATTTAAAAATATATATTTTAAATTAATTAATTAGTTGCTTAATGTAAACAAAACTCGTTTTAACCGTCACCTTTTTTCCTTCGACCGACCTGAGGAACGGGACAGAGATAAGGGGAAAAACCCTGTGATTGGTCGTTAGCCGTTAGCTAACCTGGTGCTACAGCCGTGCAGCTTGCAGATGTGCCTCTTCACCTCCACCAGGTGGCTCCCGGCCTCCTTCGTTCCCCTCTCCTCCTCTTCCTCATCAGAGGCCGCTCTTCCCTCCACCGCCCGCTGCAGATACTCAGCATCTGTCAGCGGGAACATTTCATACCTTAGACTCTACCCAGATCCTTTTATTTAATACATCACACCAGTGGTGGCAAGGCCTAAGAAAATATCTGAATCACAGACTGATGTTAATTATATTTTGCCTATGAATACTTACAGTGGGGGAAATAAGTATTTGACCCCTCGCTGATTTTGCAGGTTTGCCCACTTACAAAGAATGCAACGATCTATAACTTTAATCATATGTACATTCTAACAGTGAAAGACAGAATCCCAAAGAAGATTCCAGAAAATCACATCATATGAATTTATAAAAATTGATAACCATCTGATGAGGAAAAATAAGTATTCTTTGTAAGTGGGCAAACCTGCAAAATCAGCAAGGGGTCAAATACTTATTTCTCCCACTGTAATTAAATATTTCCAAATGGTCTGTCCGCTTCCTTTCACAGCTTTTCTCCTGGTTGTGCTGCTTCCAGACATGTATTTTCATATTAAAGCTTTTAACCAATCACATTCCAGCCATCACTTGTTGCTAGGCAGAGTCAAAGTCAAATATGTCTGCCTGGAGGCCTCCACAATCCCTCTAACAGAAAATAAATGTCATTTAACCAATCAGATTTTAGGTTGGGGACACCAGGGCCCTCTGCCCGCTGATTGGATAGTCAGATAGCTACCAGCTAAAGCTAGCAAACAAATCGAATCGCGTCGAAATACGACAGTTCAGGCTGGACTTTCAGCGTTAGCTTCGATAGAAAAATCTTCTTGATGGAACTGAAGCTTAAGGATAATCTGTACGACAGAGTAATGGAAGTCTTTTTGAGGAAAGAGGGGAGGATGGATTTTGTCAACAAATAATCCGAATTTTTGATGAGTAAAATGTTGCTATTTTCCTAAATAATATTGCGAGTTTATGAGGATATTATTGATGTTTTTGTAGTAGAAGACTTGTGCACCCCTGATCTTTATACTCTATTTCTACATAATAAGAGGATTTTTATAACCATAAAATAGTTATTGAGGGGTGAACTGATTCAGACCGAGCTCTACTGAAGAACTAGCTGTGAAACGCTTGGTCCACCACTGCATCCAACAGTCTCCTACCTGCCTTTTTCCCGGGATCTTCCTGGTGAGCCGGTGGGAGGCAGGTGCAGCGGATTCTGGGGGAAAACAGAAATAGGTATGTGACTTTTTGGGCTATTTGACTGGCTGCTGTGTGTT